ATATATATATATATATATATATATATATTGTTGGAACTCGGTCTCTAGCTCGAAGGGCAAAACAAAAGCGTGTTTTGTAGTAAGTTTTCTCATTTTGAATTAGGACATCTTTTAGGGCTGTTGTTTTTGTGGGTATCATGGAATCATTTCCAGATACAGAAACTAGGGTTTTTATATATATATTTTTCCAAAACATTTTCCATAAGCATGTCGTTTTGAGTATAAAATCTTGGAAATAACAAAAATATATTGTAATGGCTAGCTAAAACATTGAGGGAAAAAAAAAGATTCATCAAAAGAAGAAAGAATATTATTATTTTTAGATTACCCATAAATGCCACCGCCAAGACCGCCAATCCCAAGTATACAAAGTATAAACTGCACTGTTTACAAACAAAACCAAACAGCTGATCAAATATATATTTCATGAGATCGATCTTATAGTTAATAGTACAACGATGATAATCAAATATTTCATAGTTATAATATTTCATGAACTATGTGTCTTCTATTCGGGACAACACTAAAACACAATAAAATACGAAAAAAAAGTTTTTTTTTCATGGGATTTTTTTTTTGATAAAATGTGATTGTTTATTAATATATAGTTTCCAAAACTGTTACACGTCTAATGACCGATAAAGCACTCGAAAACAAGGAAATCTCATGCCTAAAAGATATCAAATGATAGACAAACAAAACCCAAAATCAGCAGCAACAAGAATCATATACTCATTCTCAAATGTTCAGTTAAAAAATACCAATCCTCCAGTCATGGGATTTGCTTGCAAAGGGCCAAGGAATATGGAATTGAACGGAATATACTAACCTTTTCAACCTCATTCATGAAATTAATCTCGTGCGGATTGTGCTGACCGTAGCCCAAGCTGTTCATAATCCTGCTTGCAAACACTAGCAAAACATTCGTAGACATTCCATCTCCAATAGCTCCAATGGTCCCAAGAAACATCAGAACGATATCGACCCGGTCCGCGAATCGAAATATTAAAGATATACCCTTTTTTGGTTTAGGAGTCTCCGAATCGGTTTTCTGTAAGGAACCCATCTTTTTTTTTTTCTCTTTTTCTTGAGAGTTTTGCTCTTAGATTCAATGAGAAGAGAGAGAGGGTTTCATGATCTATATAAGTAGAGGAAGAGGAGAGTGATGGTTGTATTGCTTTGAATTTCCATTGAGCACCCAAAGTGCTAGTGACGAAGAAGCTTTTGCTTTTTGTTTTTCTCATGTGGTTTAACAATTTAATATAAACTATACATTTATCAAAAAAAATAAATTATTATAAACTAGCTTTTTCGGTGGGGTTATTACTATTTAAGTATCACTAAAATAAAATAAAAGGATAGCTATTTTTTCGGTGGGGTTATTACACCAGATCCCGGATGGCTATTTTAATAACTTACTCTTACATTTGCAAGTTTGGATAAGATAACTAAGAAAAAAAATGGAAAGGAATGCATCATAATCCATGTGTAATAAATTGTATAAGTAATGTAATCAATGTAATTGTTAGTAATAATTATTCGTGCTTCAACAATCAATGAGATGATTTGGAAAGGACGTTAACGATGACTACCACCGCTCTAAAAGGCTTTCTGGTTAAATAATTTTGACAATTTAATATTATTTTTCTGTAAAAAAAGGCTAAATTACTGTGTGATTAAAATTATAAATTATGTTGGGAGATAAGCATGCAACGGAAGTTGCTTTTCTCTAGGCAAGGCCAGCCTTTGCCATTTTGTCTCATTGTGTATCGCCAAATCTGTATATATATATACACACACATATATACAGGTTAAATATAATATTATACTATATAAAGGAGTGATATCGTGCAAAAAAAAGTTGTTTTTTATTAAAGGGCTGCCAATATAAACAAATATGCATCCGAATCAAAATAAATGGAACTGAATCCGATTTTTATAACCTTGTTTTCCATCTTTTATAACATGAAGCGAGAAACTTAATCAACTTCGATCACTCATGCATGTTCGTTATTTTAATCTCAAATTAATTTCCAAATACTAAATAAGAGGGGCATTCACCTGGATCTCTCGATATTCTGAGAGATGTAGTTGGGCTAAAGTTCCAGTAAACTTCTGAATTATAAAAAAAAAATACTAAATAGGATCAAGATTTCTAAAATATAGTTTGAAAACGTGCGTGGAATGCTGTACTATAATAAGAACTAATTTCTATTTGTTTATATTCGTGTGTATGTGTGTATATATATATATATAAATACAAATCATTGCTATTTGAACCACGTGATTCACGTTTATTTTTATAGGAATATGATTTATGGTAAGAGTGCATCTGAACAAGACCAAACAAAAAGTGGAGAGAAGTGGTTGAGCGGGAAGAACATGAAGGGACACGGAGAATCAAGTGCTTCGTGTCTCCAAATCTGTGCGAATACACGTTTGTTTGGTTTCCGTTAAAGCTTCAGTTAAACGCCATATTTAGAATCTTAATTTAATTTCTCAAATCATATTTCTCACGTGCGAATTAACAAAAATGTTTATCATCGTTAAATCATATTTTTTATGGAACGGATCGTTTCGATTTTATTTATGGAATCGATAATTTGAAAACAAAATAACAAAGTTGATTTGGGTTTAGAACAACTACATTTTTTTCCAACTGGGTCATCTTTAATCCGAATTACAATAAAACAACACTAAGATAAACCACCAAAGTTTTTTCTTAATATTTAAACAAAACTTTTTTGTTCTATATTTTCCTCACGTTTATTTGGCCATTTATTTTGGTCCTTTATAATTAATTTTGTTTAAAATTTTTAAATCTTCAAATGTAAATTATATGGTCCCATCGATATCATTAGAAAGATCTAAATAAGTCACGTCACCATAATTAGATAATAGAACCAGGCCAATTGAAAAATAACACATGATATCTATCAAATTTGATTAACGCGAGGGGGGATGAGATGATCTTCAATACACCCTTTTCTCGTTGGCATGCTAACCTCGTACCCGGATTTTGGCGGTAATTTATATTTCAATACTTTCTTTTGTTTTTCTTTTTAATTTGTAGTTTCTTGAACCACAAAATCTTTCAAACATGGAGAAAATTCGAGAATTGCTTCTTCGAATATTCTATAGCTGCTTATCAAAAGAATAATTTATGTTATAATTGAGAGGTTAGTAGAAACCATAATTTGTTAAATAATTTTTAGGGCAAATTGTTCATCTTGGTCGGACAAAATATCCAAAATACCCTTTTTTTGCTAAACCTACTTCTGCACATACCCTTATCCATATGTGACCATGTGACCAAAATAACTGTATGGTCACATGATGGTCACATTAGTTATAACGTTAAATTTATGGTGATCACACTAAATCATCATAATCACACCTTACGTATCACATTAATCATTTGGTGAAATTATAAAAAATTTAACGTTGTGACAAATGTGACTATCATGTGACCATACAATTAATTTGGTCATATGGTCACATTTGAAAGAAGGTACGTGCAGAAGTAGATTTAGCAAAAGGAGGATATTTTGGATAATACCCCTTTTAGTCGAGAGTTCTCGCATCGTATTCATCACAAAAATAAAAACCACTTTAAAGGTTAGTTTTTCATTTTGCTGATCCAATCACTATTTCACTTTAGTTTAAAAAATATTTATTTTATTTTACATTATGTATTTTGATTTTGATAATGTATTCCAAAAGATGGATCAACTTAATTAGTGCTTGATGACTTTTTTAATTCTGCTTTTACTTTCCATAAGACGACACTCTGAATTTACATATATGAGCTTTTGTCGTGGACAAGCAGAATGGAGAATCATCTTTTACATGCATGTCTTGACAAAAGTCAAACAATTCGTTCTGACGTTTATATATATATATATACCCATATATATACAATTACATATATACATACAAACAGAGACATACATACATACATATATATATATATATGCATATTGAGAATTTTTATGGCATTATTACTAAATAAATCGGTAAATATATATTTTTAGTTTGGCTAAAGCTAACATCATTAAGCCTCGATTAAGATGACCAGACAACTTTACCTCTTTAAATTTAAGCCTTACGTTGCTTGTTGATTTAGACAGCAATTCTAATTAAATATTAATTAATGCACCTAAATTAAGATATTTCACCATATCCAGACAAAGGGAATTACAGGAGTCGGTCATATTATGTGATTGGTGATACATGATAAACTATTTGTTTGTTCTCCTATATATAATTAAATAAAATTTAAATAAAAAGAGGATTTTTCCAAAAATGAATTAACAAAGGTTCTTATACACGAGCTTTTGCGATCCGTTCTATATCATATTTTAAAAATGATTTTTTTTTATCTATGTACTTTTTTGTAAGTAATTAGATTATTAAAGAAAATGCATAAACAAGAAAAATAGTGAATTTAAAAGTTTATGCAATATAAAATAAGCACAAATATTCAAAATTGTATATTATATGTCATAACTAGAAATGTCAAGATGAACTCGATTCGCGAGCTGGTTTTGTATCGGTTTATTTTTATAATTGAACTGGTTCGTTATATGAGTAAACCGATATTCTTAAAATTCGTTTGTAGACGAACCTAACGAATCAACTCGTTACAACCAAGTCAATAAGCCACGAATTGACTAGCAGTTGTGACATTTTTTTTAAAAAATTATCTATGTTTAATATTTTTATTTTTTACATATTCTATAGAAAAAGAATATTTAATTTTATTTTTTATTGGCCATACGTAAAACTTTTTTATATACTTCCATTAAAGTTTAATTGTTAAATTAAAACGATGACCGATAAATCACGAAAGAAATATATTTATAGTATTTCCACAGTAAGGAAATTGACAACACACCAAAGAAATCAAGAAAAAAGGAAATGTACCATGGAAACAACGCATTACACTTACTACATAAAATAGAACAGTACTAATTTGGTTGTGAAATTGTGATAGGCACCACCAATCTCTCACACACCGTATGTGGAAACTGAAACTGATGTACTCAACCAAAGCTTACAATTTTTATCTGTTAAAATGCTAATTGAACTGTAAAGTGTATGAACTAAGACCCAACAAAAGAGGACAAACCTCAAGCTCAAGGTAACAACCAAATGTTGTAAGAATGGAAAGAGAAGAACCACCGTTTCACTATAAGAAAATGTAAATAAGCAAAGAATCTAGCAAGCACTCAAATAACAAGGTCACAAGATAATGCCTATGTACCAACAAATCCATCATATCATAACCAAATAAGAAGACCATAGTCGAAATGATTTCTGATGAAATCATCCACAATGGAAGTGAACACCTCAAAAAACACTCACATGCAAAAGGGGCTATATGTTTAACCAAGAAGCTAAGTATATCACACAAGCAAACACAATGATCCGGAAAAGATCAAAAGCAGAATAGCTTGTCATGTTTTTCTATCAACCAAATCTTCAAACACATCTAAAAGAAATATCCTCAAAGAGACAATCAAACATATCTTACACATATAAATATAAAAAAGCACTTTTTAAACTTATAAAGGGCAACCCGGTGCACAAAGCATCCCAGTGGGCGAGGTTCCGGGGAAGGGTCCAACATTCGAACATGTGACCTCTAAGTCACAACGGAACACATTAACCGATGCGCCAAGGTCCCCCTTCGACATTTTACACATATAAGCATAAAAAAATGGCTGGATTCTAGGGTTTCTGTCCGGAATTGGTTTTTCATTTATTTTGGGTTTTTCTCTATTTATTGTTTGGTATTGCGAGTGTATGACTTTTGATTCAATAATAATTCGTGGAATTCTATCTAGATGGGACTATTAGAATCCATGTAGGATTTATAAAAAGCCGAATTCTTCTTCATGAATAAAATATCAGAAGAATTTTGATTAAAAAAAAAGTTGACGGAAGAACTTACCTAGTTCAAGGATCCCAGACCTCGTTCAGAAGAATTTTATAAACATAGGATGAGACTTGTACCTTTAAAAAAAAGGAAAAGTGATGTCAATCTAGGATGTGATCTAATCTCGTTTAATTTCCTAGATACAACTACCGCAAGTGTACGGGTCAATCGTAGTATTCTAGGGTCGATCACAGGGACACAGATGGATTCAACGATATCAATTACGGGTTCTACTCGGTTTTTGGTCGGGGTAATAAATTGGTTGGTGGTGACGGTGATTAAACTTAAATACAAATCAAGCAAATATAAACAGTGATTTTTAACACAATTTAATTAAGACATTGTAGGTGTCGGGATTTTACGGGTTATGTAAGGATCGCTTCTAAAAATATATTTCGGTAACTATGATCATAATTTAGGAAATTCAAGTGCACATTTGCAAATGATTATTCTCTCGAATATCACCTTATATTCTAGGAATTTCTTCTACCGACCTCTCGGTTCTTAATAGATTGAAATTCCTAAAAATCATTAAGTTCGCTATCACAATTTCCAGGCAATACAACCATCTCTCGATACGAAAATTACCCATTCGAATAAATGATTTCCGAATTCGAATTCCATATCTCTATGTGAATTTAAATTCTAATATCAACAACTCAATTGGCCAAAAAGAATTGCAGCATTAAAATCCATTTATTCGATCCAAATTATAAAATCGTAGTTTACCAAAATTTAATTAAACACGTACGATCCTTACAACCGTTCAACCCCTAACCTACAATGATAAAACTACTCACACATATAGAAATCACAACAACAAAAAATCCAAGAGAAATTCATAGTAAAATAGACAGGGAAAAGAAATTGCTCAATATTTTTGCAGCTCTTCTCTTCCGACTACGCGTGTTGCTCCAATTCTCCAAGGGAAAGCTCTGTGTTTTTCTTTTTCTGTCGAAAGCTTAGCTCTGTCTCCGAATACCCCTCTCTGCGTGTTATGCCTCTTTATTTAAAGACGAACAAGATGTGGCCGACGTTTTTGTTTTCGTCTGGGTACCGCATTTTAAGGGAAAGATGTCGGACATGTCTCACATAATTATTGCTTTACTTTTCACTACAAAACAAACTTTGTAGACAAATTGATTGCAACATCAATATATATATATATATATATAAATATATATATATATTATATTATCTATAGATATATAATACGTTTACATATATATACGCACACATATGTATTAATATATATATTATATACATGCATATATATATATTCTATATATACATATAATTATAATTCTATACTCTGCAAATATATACATATGTATTTTAAATATACCAAATTTTTAATAAAATTGTAATTTATGACTTAAAACTCTTTTTATTGATATAATTAGTATATATGTATCACCATTCAAAAAATTATCGACAAAATATATGTTTTACGTAGATATTTTTCCGATTTACGAATTCATAAACAAGTCGTATTTAAGTCGTAATAAATTATTTTTGACAGATAATAAAATAAACGTACACGTTTTTCGATATGTCAGATATTTATCTTTACACCGCAGAATTTTTTAGTTAAAATATGTTAGGGTATTTAGTACATTTTATATACAGGGTTAAATAGGTCATTTTACCACCATTGGAGTGTAAAATCTGATAGAAATTTTTTTTACAATTTCAGGGGTGTATCAATGATAGCCCTACGACGCGCGAGGGGTATTCTTGAAGTTTGCCCAAAAAAAAGGGGGAAAGAAAGAAAAAGAAAAAGAACACAAAAACACGAATAAAAAGAAAAGATATGGGGCAAGAGAAAACAGTGACTTTTGAGCTAAGTGACTTTTGGGGTTCTCATTTGGGATGTGTTTAGGAGACATGTTCGGCAAGTAGGATTTACTCCACTTCTAGACCGCAGGAAGCAATGAAAATCCCATTGGTAGCCTTTCGCTTGAATGTTGGAGAGGATAGAGTATACCGAACCCGATTTCATTCGCAGCAACTTTAACCCGTACAACCAATCCACTCAAAACCCCCATTTGTTCTCCGACTGTATCTTATCGCCCCTTGGATAGTTTTATAACTACACATTTACTCGAGGACGAGCAAACCTCAAGTCTGGGGGGATTTGATCATACGGGTTTTCACCGGTTTTATAACGTCATGCATCACAATTCTTCTCTCATTCTAGGCATTGTAGGATGTTAGATGGCCATGGGTAGGTTGCTTTGCTTGTTTTTCCTTGCAGAAAGACTCCACGATGAATCCTCACGAAGCGGGCATGGAAGAACAAGAATTCGAGAAGGCTCGGGAAACTCAGACAAAATGAGCGACCCGCCCATTTTATGGGCGGTCGCTCGTTTTGTGAGCGGTTGCTTGCTTTTTCGCGTGTGCAGAGGAAAATGAGCGATCAGCCCGAAAAATGAGCGACCCTGAAGAAAAATGAGCGACCGCCTGAAATCAAAATCGGTCCAAAAAGGAAAAGCCCGTGTTTTGAGGAGAAAACCTAATTCTGGACTTTCATAAAAAGGGGAGTTTGAGGAGAGAGAAAGGGGGCTACACACTTTGGAGAGAAACTTGACTTGGAAGAGGAGAAAGAGGGATTTTGAAGATCAAGGAGGCTAGGAGGAGAAGAAGACCACCATTGAAGACCATCTTGAGCATTTTTTTCTCATTTTCCATGTTTCTTCATTTTGCTTTATGTTTTGAAACCCTAGTTATGGAGTAGTGACCTTGTTGTGGGTGAAGGATCCCCACTTTTGTATGGACACCTAAGCTTAATCTATGATGTCTTTGAGTTTTCTTCCATTGGTTTGATGTTTTGTGCTTAATGCTATTGATTTGGGCGAAACCCTAATTGATATGACCATAGAACACATTGATCATAGGGATATGGGGATGATGTTTGGAACCAAATGTCAAATGAGTGAGTTATTCACATTGAGAGATGGCTTAGCTTGCTTAGGGTTCATGATAGGGTACATTAATGCATCTAGAGATCATTTAGATCATTGGGAGATGGGTAAATCGATTCTCTAGGTAGTGAGTTTAAGCTCGGGAGAGACAAACTCTAGAAGAAGTGCTTGAAACCCCCAATTGGAGATAAACCCTAAAACATTGTAGCATCACTAACCGTCCATGCGAGATGCCGCAGCGGTACATCCTTGAGGTTGAGCCATTCGACGTTTGGGGAATTGACTTCATGGGACCCTTCCCATCATCCTGTGGAAACATATACATCTTGGTCGCTGTTGATTACGTCACCAAGTGGGTCGAAGCACTGGCAAGTCCGAAGAATGATGCAAAGACAGTGTTTCGGATGTTCAAGCGCACCATCTTTCCAAGATTCGGTGTACCCCGGGTTGTCATCAGTGATGGTGGAACTCATTTCGTCAACCGGGTGATAGAACAACTCTTGAAGAAGTATGGAGTGCGACATCGCATAGCTACTCCGTACCACCCACAGACGAGCGGCCAGGTTGAGATATCCAACCGCGAGATCAAGACCATACTCGAGAAGACAGTATCACGCTCGCGGAAGGATTGGTCACAGAAGTTGGATGATGCGGTTTGGGCATACAGAACTGCCTTCAAGACTCCCATCGGGATGACTCCGTTCCAACTTGTTTATGGGAAATCTTGTCATCTACCTGTGGAGCTGGAGCACAAGGCATTCTGGGCAGTAAAGGCGTTGAACTACGACATGAAGACAGCAGCGGAGAAACGTCTTCTACAACTGCACCACCTTGATGAGATTCGTCTTGATGCATACGAGAACGCTAAAATTTACAAGGAACGCACGAAGAAATGGCATGACCGTCACATTCTCCGACGATCATTTAAGGTAAATGACCAAGTCCTTGTTTTCAACTGATACTGTCTTCTCGAGTATGGTCTTGATCTCGCGGTTGGATATCTCAACCTGGCCGCTCGTCTGTGGGTGGTACGGAGTAGCTATGCGATGTCGCACTCCATACTTCTTCAAGAGTTGTTCTATCACCCGGTTGACGAAATGAGTTCCACCATCACTGATGACAACCCGGGGTACACCGAATCTTGGAAAGATGGTGCGCTTGAACATCCGAAACACTGTCTTTGCATCATTCTTCGGACTTGCCAGTGCTTCGACCCACTTGGTGACGTAATCAACAGCGACCAAGATGTATATGTTTCCACAGGATGATGGGAAGGGTCCCATGAAGTCAATTCCCCAAACGTCGAATGGCTCAACCTCAAGGATGTACCGCTGCGGCATCTCGTGTCTACGGGAAATATTTCCCGTTCTCTGACAAGCATCGCATGAGGAGACAAACTGGTGTACATCTCTGAATAGCGTGGGCCAAAAAAACCCGGCCTGCAAAATCTTCGCAGCGGTTTTCGATGTAGCAAAATGCCCAGCGTAATCGGAAGAATGGCAATGGGTGATGACGCTCTGAATCTCCTCTTCTGGTATGCATCGCCTGAATATCCCGTCTTTTCCTCTCTTGAAAAGGAAAGGTTCATCCCAGAAATAATTTCGGACGTCATGAAGGAATTTCTTCCTTCCATTGTAGTTCAGCTCTGGAGGAATCAGCCCACTCACCAGATAGTTCACGAAGTCTGCATACCACGGAGCCTCGGTGTGGACTGAAATGGCCATGACATACTCGTCTCGCAATGAGTCGTCGATGGGCAATGGGTTCGGAATCTCAAGCCGTGATAAATGATCCGCTACACCATTTTGAGTCCCCTTTCTGTCCCTGATCTCTAGATCAAACTCTTGTAGCAGAAGAGTCCATCTGATGAGTCGAGGCTTGGCGTCTTTCTTGGACAGAAGGTATCGGAGAGCTGCGTGATCAGTGTAGACTATCACTTTCGATCCGACTAGATAAGACCTGAACTTCTCAAAAGCGTAGACTATGGCAATCATCGTGTTTTCTGTGGTGGTGTAGTTGATCTGAGCATCGTCAAGGGTGCGGCTGGCATAGTATATGGCATGTAATCGCTTGTTCTTCTGCTGACCCAAAACTGCTCCGACGGCGTAGTCGCTGGCATCGCACATGATCTCAAAAGGAAGGCTCCAGTCTGGAGGCTGAATAATCGGCGAAGATACCAAAGCCTTTTTCAGAGTTTGGAACGCGACATCACATTCTGTAGTGTAGATAAACGGTGCGTCTTTACAAAGCAGGTCGGTGAGCGGCTTCGAGATTTTTGAGAAGTCTTTGATGAACCTCCTATAAAACCCTGCATGGCCCAAGAAACTGCGGATAGCTTTGACATTATGCGGTGGTGGCAGTTTCTCGATCACCTCGACCTTGGCCTTGTCAACCTCAATTCCCTTTTCTGAGATCTTGTGGCCCAAAACAATTCCTTCTCGGACCATGAAATGACACTTCTCCCAGTTGAGTACCAGATTTGCCTGCGAACACCTGTCTAACACTCGAGATAAATTAATTAGACACATATCGAAGGAGGGTCCATGGACGGAGAAATCGTCCATAAACACCTCCATCGACTCCTCGATCACATCGGAAAATATGGCCATCATACACCGTTGGAATGTCGCTGGAGCGTTACATAATCCAAACGGCATGCGACGATAGGCATAAGTTCCGTACGGGCAAGTAAATGTAGTTTTCTCCTGATCATTGGGGTGAATAGGGATTTGGAAAAAACCTGAGTACCCGTCGAGGAAGCAAAAGTACGAGTGTAGAGCAAGACGTTCTAGCATCTGGTCGATATATGGCAGTGGAAAATGGTCCTTCCTCGTGTTGGCGTTCAATTTGCGATAGTCAATACACATGCGCCAACCGGTCACCGTTCTCGTCGGAATAAGCTCGTTCTTTTCGTTGGTGACCACCGTCATTCCTCCCTTCTTCGGAACAACCTGTACAGGACTCACCCAATGGCTGTCAGAGATAGGAAAAATGATACCTGCATCGAGAAGCTTCATTATCTCCTTCTTCACCACTTCTTGCAACATCGGATTGAGGCGTCGTTGATGCTCAATGGAGGTTTTGGACTCATCCTCCAGATGGATCCTATGCATGAAAAGAGAAGGGTTGATTCCCTTGATGTCCGCGATTGTGTACCCTATGACCTTCATGTATCT